AGAGGAGGGCCCTTCATTAGCACCTCCACCTGTCCCCGTTCCACGCCCCCCACCCGGGTTGGAACTCCATAACTCCTGCAGTCGACTAACTGGTCTCCCCCATCCTCTCCGAGACCCCACCAGTCTTTTCAAAATGCAAAATGAATCGTGCCATCCTGGGTTTGCACCTGGTGGACTCTACAATTTGTGGGTCTGCAATTCATGGGAATGAGTTACAGTGACTTTAAGCCTCTGACCTGCGTCTGTCTGCCCTTCTCTGGTTTAAGTGTTTGGAGATTCGCACAGCAGGAGTGAAAAAGTATCTAACTGTATATCTGGCTTATGCTGTGAGGCCCAGATGTTGAACTAGGGCCCCTACCTATTAAAGACTGAGTCACTTGTTCATTTAACGAATATTGGAGTAGTCAAAGAAGTCCCATATAAGGAGGGGTCATCATCAGAGTTGCAACAACAGAATCCACGTTAGTTGACTTAAGCAGAAAGAAACTTACCAAAGGATATTGGTGGTGCATCAGCCATAAGCTTCAGAGGCCCTGGAGCCAGGAGTGATGTCCAAACTACGAGGCCCTTGTGCAGGTACACTGCTGTGCACTGATGTCATTGGGAACTGGTGCTAAAACTCCACTCTGCTTTCCTTCAAAAATCAGTTCTTCCTGCCAACAGTCTCTCCAAGAACTGGAGTCCTCATGGCGCCCACTGTTTTACCTTGCTCGTTTTCATCTTGAAGTCTCATGCAAGTGCCGTGCATCTGGTAGAGCCTGGGTCGAATGTCTGCAGCCTAGCCACAAGGGAAGCTGGAAGTACGACTTAAGTCTTCCACCATGAAGCGTAGGTCTCATAATGTGGGAAAGGAGGGATGTCTGAACAATACTAAGACAGCAGGTCACGCATGTGATAAATATCCACTCCAGAAGGTGACATTTGAACTGAGAAAAAAGAATGAGGAGTCAGTCATTAGAATAGTGAGTGGAAGAGCCTCTAGGAAGAAGGAGCAGCATGTGCAAAGGCCCTGAGGCCAAAAAAAAAAAAAAAGTTTGGCATCTTCAGGGAACAGAGAGAAGGCCAGTGGTACTGGGAGATGACATGATCAGCTGTAGGTTTTTGGAAGATCACTCTGGCTTCTGAGTCTGGAGAATGTATTGGAGAGTGATAGAAGACCAGCTAGGAGGCTTAGTCGAGGTAGAGGCAGTGGTGGCAGGTGCTAAGAAGCCAACTGAAATGCTTTTTGGAGATTGCTCTTTCAGTATTGGCCAATGGGGAGGCTTTGGGAGTGGGCAGGAGAGGTGGGGAAGTAAAGGGAGGTGTCAAGGATGAGTCCCAGTCTTGTGGCTTAAGCCGCTGGATGGTGCCACTTCCTGAGAGGGAAAGCATAGACTCTGGGGGAGGGGAAGCCCTCTGAACTTGTTAACTGTAAGATCCTGTGTGGCATGCAAATAGGCCAAGTGGTTAGTTAAGATACACAAGATCAGACTGTGGAGGAAAGGTCTAGGTAAGAGAGAGGAACAATTTCTACCTGAGCTTTATAGACCTGTGATAAAATGTGGGAACTCAGACTGAATGGCCACAATGGAGCCATAAGCCAAGGCAGAAAAATACACTAGGCTTGGTGCCAGAGAGCCTCCATCTCAGCGATGCTACCTATCAGTTGAGTAGGCATAAGCAAACCTCAGCCTCTGTGTTCTTATCTGCAAAATGGGCATCACAGTCGTGTTAATTATCGGAGCTGTAGTCTGTGTGTCCCATAGGTGGTTGTATAGTCCTATCTTACCATAATGTTTAATAAATTGTAACCAGAATTTTCCCA